TACTTGGATAATTGCCTGTTACACAATATATCCACTTTATTGGAAATCAATTTAGTCCAATAGTGTCGGCAAATATTAAGAGTTTGTCTCTTTCCGAGCATTTGGAGAATCAGCAGATAAATCAGAGATGTTGCCCTTCCTCTACTCCAATAAAGGACTTCAGTGTTAAAGCACTCCATCTCAAGGACTTCACGAAGAAGATAATCTACCGCTGTTTGTGTTTATTGTCAATCCAAAAGTGGGCGAAAGCTCTAATGAAAAAGCCTCAGGCGTTCTTTTAAAACACGTTTAACAAAAATCTAAACTCTCTTTGTGCGTTTGACAGCGCTATTGTTCTGTATGCTAAAGCTGTGTTAAACTGAAAGATGTCACAAGTGGAAAAAATGATGACAAAAAAAACCATAAAAACGTCCCCTGTTGATTGTCAGCTCAAGGAAGGTCTCTGGTCTAGATCAGAAACGTGTCTTTGCTGTCTAATTGAGAAAAATTGCAGACTGTCAGCCTTTTCAAAATCACTTAGACATCAGATATAATTGTGAAGTTTATTCCTGAACGACTCTGTCTGGTTCTGTGCACATAAATACAGTAGTGTGTGCCGGGCCACGCTTTCAAACCCTGATTGCAATTAACATGGAGAAGTTACAGGGAAGGAGAAGCATGTCACTTTTTTTAAAATCTCCTTTTGTGGCAGTGGGAGGGTTGATGGGGTTTCCTCTATATGTGGGAGATTTCTAAGGGTTCCACTTTTAAAATGACACATTTAATTTGAAAACAGGTTTGTATCCAAAATCATCATTCACTATTCCCTAGACTAGTCCACTTAAAGGAGTAAATGAAAACAAGTGAGTGAATTTAAGCACTGAAAGCACCAGAAGTGATGCCACTTTGTTTGTGCTTTACTGGTTGATGAATCCCTCAGACATATTAGATTTCTTAAAAAATAAAAAATAAAATAAAAAAACCTCTTGGTTAAACCCTTTTATAGTTATTTAAAGTCAGTACTTTAAGCAAAAATTAGCCAAATGAGCAAGAACCAGACAACTTTGGAGAGTTTCTTTGGGAAGGGGAAAAGGCCCAGTGAAGGACCCACAAACTGCCCAGGAATGGATCTGCAACCCATTTGTCAACAAATCAGGTGAATCACCCAAACACTGCAGAGCATTTCAATTTTTTCCATAGATAAAACTTGTAGTAGAGTTGCAGCAATGTTTTGTCAGCTTGTCATACACTAAAAAAAACACATAATGATCACGTGGCAATATACGTACACTACTGCTGCGTAAAACATATGCTTGATAAGTTGGCGGTTCATTCAGCTGTGACGACCCCAGATTAATAAAGGGACTAAGGGTGTCACGATCCTCCAAATTCTCGATTCGATTACATTTTCGATTCTGAAGGCACGATTCGATTCGATTTTCGATTATGAATAATTAATTAATGACCAATTAATTATTTGTAGCCTACCGTTTAAACTACCTGACCTGCATGGTCTTTGTTTTACCCATAAACAAATCATACAGTAAATGAATAAAGGCAAGTTACACACATAATTACCACCTGTCAATCACTTTTTCTGCGAGACTCGTAAATAGGCAGTGATCTGTGTCGTTATAATGGCGTCGGTAAAAAAGAGGCACAACCAACAGGAACCAGCCAACAGTATCTGAGGTGTTCGCTAAAATGAGTAAGTAGAAGTGAGTGAAAGATTGAAGCAGTCCTCTGACTGCCTGGACCTGCTGTCTGGAGCGCATGGCTGTGAGTGCGTCTATGTCTGTGTGGTCACGTGATGTGCATTTTCAGAGGTAGAGAGGAAGGAGGGCTGCTCAGAAATGCTACACGCCACTGTGGATGTCAAATCGTTGTTGTTCTAAAATGCCATTTAAAAACAAAGACAGTGTAAACAGGGCCTGAGTGTGTACTTTTCGCGAGCGTATATGCAACGGGGGCGGGCGGAGGATAGCGATGCCGTTGTTGTCTATCGGACGAACCCTACATAATACGTACATAGCAGAGCTTGCAAAACTGTGTTTTTTGTCGACAACACGAACATTGTCAACATAACTCACTGGAAATCCAAAATGCTTACACACCGGCGACTTCATTGAAAGAGAAGAGGGTTTAAGTTCTGTCGACGGGTCTCCTGCTTCTGCAGTTTAACAAGCACTTCAACAAGCCTGTTTTTTTTTCCCGCTTGGCAAGCCAAGCTGACGTGACATGGGGGCGTGGCAGCATCGACGATTCTATTTTTTGATTCGATAATCGAAATTGAGCATAAATTTCGATCGATTTCGATTAAAAATCGAAATCGTGACACCCCTAAAAGGGACTAAGCCAAAAAGAAAGATTGGATTCTGCTGTAGAGGCCATCTTGTGGTCAGACAGATATTCATTTTGCGCTGGAAAGCTCACAATGCATTTCTCTATTAGTTGAGTGTACATCAGTTCCACACTCGTTATTGTGGTGCATTGTGGGATTGCTTGAGTTTACTATAGTTTTGGGCACCACTACAAATGGCTACTCCCTTAAATTGTGATTTCAAACAAGTTTATTTGGCTAGATTAGCATGAACTCATTAGCTTTATAATAAATGCAATTTGTAAAACTACAGGTTATAAAAATATTATTTTTTTCCATCATATTTTGGTCAAAAATGTACACATTTTTGTTAAACTGTACATGTACAGCATTTAAAAAAAATGTTTACATGAGGTACATTATTAAAAAGCAAAAAAACTGATGAAATATGTTTAGAGTAAATAGCTATTATGAAGTTGCTTGTCTGATCAAGTACAGTGAAAACTATATTATTAATGTTTAAGATATATTAAAATGTATTTAATTATTTGATTGCTTCAGCCATTATTCGAGTTGTCAGCATCTCAGAAGTCATAGTCTAATATTAAGTAATTATTTCATGAAAAAAATAGCAAAATATTTTACCATTTAAATCAGTGAAGATCCAGCACAGTGTACAATTTGTAAACTCCTTGTCCTTCCTGAATATGATCATGGAGGATGAAGACATAAGCAGTGCTCTAGATCAAAAACAAAAACAAGAAACAGTAAGAAAATGTTTAATACTTTAAACAAACTTTTAAAATATATCTAAATCACAATATGTAGTTATATACACTACCTGACAAAAGTCTTGTCTTCAATCTCAGTTGAAAGAGCAACAAATAATAACTTGAAGTGGCAGAAGGTAGATTTTTCTGATGAATCATCTGTTGAACTGCATCCAAATCATTACAAATACTGCAGAAGATCTATTGAAAGCCACACAAACCTGAATCTCACAGAAATCAGTCAAGCTTGGGGAAAGAAAAACCATGGTTTGGGGTTACAATTATGCGAGAGATCTGCAGAGTGGATGGCAACATCAACAGCCTGAGGTATCGAGACATTTGTGCTGCCCGTTACATTACAAACCACAGGAGAGGGCAAATTCTTCAGCAGGATAGCGCTCCTTCTCAAACTTTAGCCTCCACATCAAAGTTCCTGAAAGCGAAGAAGGTCAAGGTGCTCCAGGATCGGCCGGCCCAGTCACCAGACATGAACATTACTGAGCATGTTTGTAGTAAGATGAAGGAGGAGGCATTGAAGATGAATCCAAAGAATCTTGATGAACTGTGGGAGTCCTGCAAGAACGCTTGCTTTCCCATTCCAGATGACTTTATTAATAAGTTATTTGAGTCATTGAAGAGATGTATGGATGCAGTCGTCCAAGCTCATGGAGTCATACACAACATTAATCATTTTTCTACTGCACCATCACTTTATATTCTATACTTTACATTATTTCTGTTAGGTGACAAAACTTTTGTCTAAGCAAAGTCAGACCTTACTGTCCTAATTAAATAATTAAAAATCAAGGCATGATCATATTTTATTTTGGTAAAATAAGCGTAATTTAGAGACCTTTGCCTTTCATATAATCAACTTCTGATACCAAATGATTAACTAGAAGTCAATTTATTATTTGTTCTTCCTAAAACTTGGATGGGTAGTTATCAGGTAGTATACTGTATGTGTTAAACAGAATGTTGAATCATCTTCTGTATGTGCACTGAGATCATGGCTGTTTTTGATGTTTCCAAAAAATTCTAGACTATTAGATGTGGATGTATTTCACTCGTCTCTGAGAAATGCACCTGTGGTTTTCAGCGTTTGGCAGGAGCAAAGCCAGATGCTGTGTATGTGAATTTATGATGCAGGACGGGTCATGTGGCCCACTTTGAAAAAAAAAAAAAGACTACATCTGTGTCTTTAAAAGTGTGAGAAAAAGAAGCCAGTTTTGTTCTCCTTTGTCACCGCAAAAAGTTCACGCTTTGCACAAGCCTCTATAGTTCACAAGTTCAGCAGTTATATTTAGGGACAGATCTCAATGCTGCCTGTGGCTCTCAAAACCCAGACGTTTTTTTTTCTTCCCCTTTAACTTTGCCATATTTCCATGAAGCAGTTTTGATTTGTCACACACTCACACACACTGGCGGTGCAACAAGCTCTGCACATTTCAGTTGTTAATAAGAGACAGTGTACGAAGTGGAAAATGTGAACCGTGTCTGACTGCATGGTGTCCAGCCCTGACGTCTGCACTCAGACACCATTAACCCTCTTTGGCTGCCGCACATTTTGGGAAAAAAGTAAGGCTACATCTACATCCAGAGATGTTTTTGGAGAGCCACTATACTGAGGAGTATAGCTCCAACCGCAATTACACACACCTGAAGCTAATCAAGGTCTTCAGACTCACTTCTAGGCATGTATGTTGGAGCTAAAATCTGAGACATTGGCCCTCCAGAAGCAGGACACCCCTGTGGTCTACATTAATCCAGACACGTTCAAACAGCGGTTTTCATTCCAAAACGCTCTCAGTTGACATTAGTATTTAAAAAAAAAATGCAAACTCAATAAAAAGTTGGAAATTGTTTACAATTTTTGTGGAAAATATAATTTTTCTCTGAAATAATACTCATGTAATTTATTTTTCATGATATTCATTTGGCAAACTTGTTTTATTGATAAAATAGAATGGCACAGTGGTTAGGACTGTCGTCTCACAGTGAGAAGTTCGCTGGTTTGAGTCCCAGATGGGTTAGTTGAAATTTCTGTGAGAAGTTTGCATGTTCCACCTATGTTGGTATGGGTTTTCTCTGGTTTCCCAGACATGCACTGTAGGTGAACTGAATAAACAAAACTGACCGTAGTGTGTGAGTGTGTTTTCCAGCACTGGGTTGCAGCTGTAAGGGCATCCGTTGCATAAAACATATGCTGAAAAAGTTGGCGATTCATTACGCTGTGGTGACCCTTGATGAATAAAGGGACTAAGCTGAAGGAAAGTGAATGAATGATAAAATACTCCACCAATTAAAGTAATGGTTCATATGCAGGCCATACTTAAAAGGTTAGTTCATCCAAATTCTATGATATATTACTCACCCTCATGTTGTTCCAATCCTGAGACCTTCGTTCATCTTCAGAATACAAATTATGATATTTTAGACTGTCTGAAGACATTAGTGCAGAAAAGGAACCAAAAATAGTCAAAACATTACCTGTGACTTTGGTGATTCAACTGTATTCATACAAAGCTCCAAGAACACTTTTGTGGTATAGAAATCTGTAAAATAAATAAATAAATAAAACATTGTTAGTCTTTGCTGGCAGGGTGGACATTAACTACAGGCAATATGATATCTTGTCATTACAGTCAAAAACACAAGCATTGAATTGCTATCCAAAAGACTAGCTTTTAGTCCCTTTTGGTACAACACATCCTCTATAAATACTTCTACAAAGACAATTTGATCTCGTGAATATATTTGGGAATATTTATTTATGTGTAACATACTGACGTGATAAAAGCCTCTGATCATATACAATGCTGGTGTAAAATGTGAATTATTTGTATACAACCAATTTTACAAGCACAAATAAATCCTGAAATTATGGCACTAACATTGATTACTGTGCATTCAATAAATATTCGAAATAAAAATAAAAAACCTGAAAAATCACATGCACATAAGTATCACAGCCTTTGCTCAATACTTTGTTGATGCACCTTTGGCAGCAATTACAGCCTCAAGTCTTTTTGAATATGATGCCACAAGCTTGGCACACCAGTCTTTTTTGCCCATTCCTCTTTGCAGTACCTCTCAAGCTCTACGGTGTAGAGCCATTTTCAGATCTCTCCAGATATCTTCAATAGGTTTTAGGTCTGGGTTCTGGCTGGGCCACTCAAGGACAATCACTGAGTTGTTGTGCTGCCACTGCATTGACATTTTGGCGTTGTGTTATGGGTCATTGCCCTGCTGGAAGATGAATTGTCGCCCCAGTCTGAGTTCAAGAGCACAAGAAGCAGGTTTTCATTCAGGATGTCTCTGTACATTGCTGAATTTATCCTTCCTTCTATTCTGACTAGTCCTCCAGTTTGGCAAAGGCTGTGAATACTTAGTCAATGTGATTTTTCAGTTTGTAAATTATTTTTATTCTTTAATAAATTTGCAACAATTTCAAAAAATCCTTTTTTACATTGTCATTATGGGGTATTGTGGGAAGAATCTTAAGGAAATATTTTTACAAACATGACATTTAAATGTAACATAAAATACTGGGGTACAATAAAAACTAATTTTAATATTATTAAAATTATATATATATATATATATATATATATATATATATATATATATACACATATATTTATATATACATACTGTTGCTGTGTACATGCCATGTAAGTTAGTATGTTCTGAGAAACACAAGCACCAATCCTTTTCTGCCTTTGATTCTCAGCTAAAAGCAAAAGGTTTTCATTGGATCTGCATGAAAACAAGGCTTGGATGTATCAGCTTCCCGCTTTCACATCCTTAATCACCTGCGATCCTTCATCTGTGTTTCACCACGGATGTTTCTTCAGATCCAATTGGCTGATACAAAGGCGAGAGTCAAACGTCTTCAGCTTTCCTCTTGCGCTCTCATCTCTTCTCCCCCTCGCTCTCCTCTGGGTTCGTGTCACGGTGATGGATTTAACCCAAATAAACTCATTTATCTTTCAATTAGTGCCAGGCCCATAATATGGTGTGGATTATGAAGTAATCCAGACGCTGAGCTCTGCGAGGAGGAGTGGGACCGCACCTATTTAAACACTGTCGTGGAAATCACACACAACGCAGCCAAATGTACGTCACCACCGCTGCTTTCACGGACCGTTTCCTCGGGCTGATTTGAATTTTGACTATTATCATTATTCTGATTTATTTGTTTGGCTCTGGTTGAGTAATGCGGTCAGGAGGTGGCAGGGTGCGGGTTTCGATTCCAAATGTAGCAGGTACTTGGCTGCTGTGTCTGATTATCAATCCCAGTCATCTGTAAAAAAAAGACCAATGTCATGTGTGGTCTTGCTGGGTTATGGCTTCCCATTATAAAGGTCAGAATTTCTAAGCAAAAGCTCTCTACCAAAACACCTTTCTATGTATTAGACCTACACGAAACTGAGAGAATGATCCGTTAGCGTTCCCATTCATCTTCATGGCAGCAGTTCAGCATGTGCGAGAGCTCCTGAAAGTATACGATTATTGTGTGATATTGCTTTTATACAACAGTCCCATGAACAGGAAGTCAATACTGAGAAAGCTTCATTTTAAAAACACTTTTGCCTGGATTTATACAAAAACAAGTGTAATTATACAGATTCACATTCATCTGTGTCAGGTAAAACTATACACATAAATGATTTGTGCATTCATAAAGCTGCTTTTAGGACGACTCACATGACATTTTACACTGAAAGTGCTGCAAAATGCAATCATTTTTTAGAAGTTACTAACATTCCTTGTGTTTTTGGGGTGTGTGTGCATGTGGATGTTTCCCAGAGATGGGTTGCGGCTGGAAGGGCATCCGCTGCGTAAAAACTTGCTGGATAAGTTGACGGTTCATTCCGCTGTGGCAACACCGAATTAATAAAGTGACTATGCCGATAAGAAAATGAATGTACAAACTTATATAAATGTGCATAGAATACTACAGCACATCAATTTTGTTTTTTTTACCTTGCCTCTAATGGCAAAAGACAAATATATACAGCTGAAGTTTATTAGCCCTCCTGAATTATTAGCCCCCCCTTATATTTTTCCCAAATTTCTGTTTAACAGAAAACACATTTCTAAACTTAAGAGTTTTAACAAATAATTTCTAATAACTGATTTCTTTTATCTTTGCCATGATGAGAGTACAGTATGTACAATTTTACTAGTTATTTGTCAAGCTACTAATATTTAGCTTAAATTGACATTTAAAGGCTTAACTAGGTTCATTAGGTTACCTAGGCTAGTTAGGATAATTAGACAAGTCATAACAGTGTTTTTCTGTAGACAATTAATAAAAAATATTGCTAAAGGGGGCTAATAATATTGACCTTAAAAAATAATCTAGCCAAAAAAAAAAAAAAAAAAAAAAAAATTTCTCTAGAAGAAAACATATTATAGGAAATACTGGGAAAACTTCTGTGCTCTGTTAAACATCCTTGGGAAATATTTGAAAAGGAAAAAATATTTCACAGGAGGGGTAATAATTTTGACCTTAACTGTTTATTTACACCTAGATTACTATTGTCAGAATAGAAGATTCACTTCATGGACATTTTCAGCTTATTTACGTATTTGAATTGCACTGTATGACCAGGGGTGTAAAGTAACATATTACAAATCCTCAAATGACTGTAATTGAGTAGTTTTCTCAGGAATTGTAATTTACTAAGTAGTTTTAAAAAATATGTACTTTTACTTTCCCTTGAGTACATCTTTAGTGCAGTACCGGTACTTTTGCTCCACTACTTTGCTTCAACAGGAAGTCACTACTTTGTTTTTCTTGTCCATGGGGATTAGAAAAATCAGTCCTGTGATTCCTGTCCAATCAAATCGCACAAAAGAGGTAAACTGCATCATATGTTTACTGTATGATGACCAAAATGGCCTTAAACACGCAGAAGGCACAAGACGTCAACATGTACCATAACGTCATAGGGACATTGCGTTTTGTTTGAAAATGAAAATCAGGTTAACATCAGAACCCAACATTAAGTTGACGTCAATGTTCAACGTCAAACCTAAAATCAACCAAATATCAACGCCTATTAATGTTACAGCTTGACGTTGTGTGGATGTTACCACTATGACGTCTATCAGACAATAGATTTTGGCTGCCATATCTGATGAATAAATGTCAGTATCAATATGACATCAATATGACGTTGGTTAAGATGTTGGCTTAATTGGATTTTGATCACTTTTCAACACAACCTAAAACCAACCAAATATCAACGTTATTTGACACCATTATCGGACATCAAAATAATGTTGTCCTTAGTCGCTGGCAAGACATTGAATATTGGTCACCTGACGTCACAACCTAAATCTACACAATGTTACGTTTACACACATCCACAAATTAGATGTAAATGCATCAGCTTTTTACAGTGTGATACTCACTACTCTTGAGTACTTTAGAAAGGGCTACTTTTTACTCATACTTTGAGTAATATTCACAACAGATACTTTTACTCTAATTGCGCTACATTTTTAGGCTAGTAATGGTACCTTTAGTTAAGCATGATTTTTTTTTTTTAGTCTTTCATCTTTCCAATACTGTGTATGACCTTGACCTCTGCTATAATTTGTGAATCATAACTGTGCTAAATTTCTAGTTACTTATTGCAGAACTACAATACATCAATACAGTCCTAAAAATGGTCTGTAGTTCCAATCCAAGCCACAGCTGAATTAACAGCAGCACAGCAATGCCATTCCTGCAGGTTTAAAGTTATTTTTGACTCATGATTCATTGGCTCACTGTCATCTTTTGTCAATGACATCATTTGGAGCCTAAGTTTGTACAGAAGCTGTTACACTCTAACTCTTCCAGACCCAATCACAACCACACAATCATAACACAACACCCCATTTTTCCTCGCTTTTTAGTTTACTGTACAGATTGCACTGTCTTTCTTTTCTTTTTCATCCTTTTATAACCCGTTTTAATACAATTTAATCTGTTTTTATCTGTTTAACAATTTGTTAACACTTCATAATAACTACACACTATGAATCCTTTACTACGCATTAGCATCTAGTGAATTCATTTTTGTTAAGCATTAACTCAATTGCTGTATTCTTGACTTATAAGCACCTATATAATGTGATTAATAATTGTATTTTTTATACTTTGTTAATGATTTATTTCTCATTACTAAATAAAGTATTGCATTATTTACAAACCATTTGTTTTCAGGAGCAGTTGGCGGTTATTAGTATTTTTCAGAATGAGTTAGTAAATGATTAATAAACTATTGAAATCAACGCTTTTATATCATATTATTCAGGCATATATTAATGGTTACTATATATGTTATTGAATGTTTTATTAACTCAACTTCATGCAGTTTTGTGACCTAATCTAAAGTGAGGACTTATCCGGCTTTTTAAATCCCTTATAAATGACAATTGAAGGCTTAGTATCAATAAAGAATATTATTTGCAATCTTATCTAATAAGTTAAATTACTGTAAATTTTAAACATTGCCAAAACAGGTGTCAAAATACAACATAAAACTGGATAAAACAACATCAATATAATAATTTAACAACATAATAAGGAGCAATGTTTAAACTGTACATTAATTTTATTTAAGATAAGGTTGCAAAGATAAATTTTTCACTTGAAGTACGGTTTCATTTGTGTATCTTCAAACGAATAGGATTGAATAAATTCGTTTATGTAATTTTTCCTGTTTAGAATTTAACTGAGCCTTTAATTGTCATTTATAAGGGATTTATAAAGCATAAATAGTCCTCACTTTAGATTAGGTCACAAAACTGGATGAAGTTGAGTTAATAAAGCATTTCTTAACATACAAATTAACTATTAGTATATGCCTGAATAATAATAATTATAAATGTTAATTTCAATACTTTATTAATCCTTTAATAACTCATTCTGAATGATTTTAAAAAACAACTAACTATGCTTAAATAATTGGTTTGTAAATAATGCAATACTTAATTTAGTAATGAAAAATAAATCATTAACAAAGTATGAAAGTACAATTATTAAGCACATTATAAATGTGATTCTAAGTCAAGAATACAACACGTGTAGCTGCAGTAATCAACTGCTTACTAAAGTTTATTAATGTAGAGTTAATGATCAGCAGATAATTAATTTACTATTTGCTAATGCTTAATAAATGCTTCATAGTGTGTAGTTATTATAAAGTTACCAATAATTTTAATTTTCTTGTTTTTTTTAATTCCTGTTTATGTAAAGCACTTTGAATTAGCATTGTGTATATGCTATATAAATACACCTACCTTGCCTTACATAAATACTGTATGTTTTTAGCTATACTGCAGCCAGCCACCAGGATGTGACTGAAATGGTTTGGCTTCACTTTTCAGGACACTTTTCAACACTCTTGCAATGCTACGCTAACAATCAAATTGAAAGATTTTATAGGAAAGACGTTTTTTACAGAATAGTTATAGGAACTTATAGAAGTTACAGTTGCTAGGTTGCATTAGCACGGTCATTAGGAACCCTGAAGTGATGGATGCTGGCTACAGTGGCATCTAAGCACATCATTCAACAATGTAAATAACTGGAGGATGCCTTGATAACAGAGATGGAATGTAGATGTTTGTGTTGTGCAACTAAAAAAAGCAAGATGAAGGGCTGAGAGATAAAATCAAAAGCTGTAGTGCTGCATACTGTTTCAAGCTAAGAAAAGAACACAAGGCATTAGCTGTCTGTCTCTGTGTATCTTTTAACACTTTAAATACCGTACTGGTGTGTTGTATAGCTTGTAATCAGACAAAATAATGTTGATAATTCCTATTATGCGGGGTCATACCCTATTCTGAAAACTTAACCCCAAAGAATTTCTAGAATTAAAATTGTGTTCAGGGAATGCTGTGTGAAAAGCAAACACTTTTCCTAACATTTCTTAGAACCTCAACAATCCTGAAACATACTAAAATACTACAACACAACTAAAACATTCCTCCACTTCAAACGTCACCCTTTAACATTTATGTAATGAAGGGGGAAAAAAATCATAATCTAATTATTTAACAAATGAATGTAAAACAATTATACCACTTATCAGCCTATAATTTAGGCAGTCACTTAAATCTAATGTCCACAGTGCTAAAGGAGCATGTGAACTTGTTGTGGGGAAAATTCGGTTCGACACCTCGCAAAAGCCTCTAATGAATTTGAATGAGGACTCTATTTGTTTTCCATGTTTTATTTATTTTCTTGCTTTTCCCAGTAAATTAAATCGACCTCACCAATGCCTATATTAATCCTGAGTAATACATCGGCCTGCCGTTCTGATTATGTTCTTGTTGCGGAGCTGTTCGTTATTGATTTCCCCCTCCCCCTTTTTTTTCATCTCTTTCCTTTTAACCTACCCTCCCCTTCTTCCCTTGTTTAAGACTTTATAGAAGTAGTTCACCCAAAAATAAATTCTTTTGTCATGTTCTCGCCCTTCTGTTGTTCCAACCTCATATTATGTCTTTTTTTCCTTCCATGGAACACAAAAGAGATTTTATTCTAGGAATATCCTGTTTAAAAATCCATAAAAATGTTATAAAAACTAGTCCAAATGTACTCACTGTGAATCAATCTTTTTTTTAAGCTGAATTGTTAAAATTATTCCGAATTGTTTAAATGAGCTTATACATTTGGTTCGCAGATGTTTCTCACAGACTTAATTAAGTTGTTTGCAAAGGTTACATATGTTGATTGTACGGCACAGCTATACTGGTTTGATAATAATTTGAGC